CAAGAATAGACACAGGGAGACCAATAAAAAAAAAAAAAACATTATGGACATCTAAATAAGAAATGGTGGCCCTGGCTGGTGTGGCTCAGTGGACTTAGTGCCAGCCTGTGAACCAAAAGGTCACTGGTTCGATTCCTAGTCAGGGCACATGCCTGGATTGCAGTTCAGGTTCCCCATCTGGGGGCGTGCGAGAAGCAGCCATGTATTGATATTTCTCCATCTCTTTCTTCCTCCCTTCCATTCTCTAAAAATAAATAAAATCTTAAAAAAAAAAGAAATGGTAGTAGCTCAGGTACTGGGAATCAGGAACCTTTTAATTGACATCTCAAATTTTAAAATGAGCATAAGGTAACCAAAGGAGGAAGGGCACCACAGGCCGCAAAACATGTACATTAGCATTAGATCCCAAGACCATAACACATCCTGACACAGTAAATAACCTAATGTGGCAGTAGCAAAGGGTGATGACATGAGTGAAGGCCAGAAGACTGTTAGAAAACTACTGCAGTGACCCAAGCATGAAAGTATGATGCCCTAAACTGAAGACCAGTGATAACAAGAGAGGAAAAGGCAGAACCATATCCATGTGATACTGGAAGTGGTAGCAGAGACTGGCTGGATTTGAAGAAGGGGGGGGTACAGGAGGAGGGAAGAGGAACTCGGGATGACTAGGTTTCTGGCTTTGAATGGGCAGGGGTGTGAGAAGGGTGAGTTCAGGTCTGTATGTGCTGTTGTACCAAAAGAGCCATATAGGCAGTTTCCAGTTTAGAAAGAGCCTGAGGCGGAACATGTACATTTAGAAGCCACAGGTGAACAATCCATGAGAAAGACTGATTGCCCAGGGAAGTACACAATGAGAAGAGCTTAGTTCAGAGCACTGAGATGCACCGACACCGAAGAGGGCCAGAGTTAGGGCAGGTTTGTCAACAACAGCACTGATGTTTTAAGCTGAGTAATTCTGTTGTGTTGTCTGGCACATTAAAGGATGTTTAGCAGCATCCCTGGACTCTATTCATTAGATACCAGTAGAACCCACCCAGTTTTGACATTACCAAATGTCCCTTGGGAGGAAAAAAAAAACATCCCCAGCTAAGAAGCACTGAGTTAAGAGTCTCCAGGACACTGACAAAAGGACTCTGACAAGAAGTTCTTAATGAGCTTGCTCAATCCATTAATTACCTCTGAAGTTCCTGGAGTGCGTAATACTGCTCTTGGTTCCTTGAAAAGTACAAAAGAAATGCAAGTGACATTCCACTATATCCACCCTTCAAGGCATTGGAATATCTTCACACTAGACTGAATCAAATCCATTGCTAGAAATCACATTTCTGCTGTGAGGCTATAGTGGGGAAAAGAATGTATTTTTTTATAAATCTTTTTATTCACAAGCAATGTACACAAAAAAAAACTTGAGACCCTGCCCCCCAAATATAGGGTTGTGTCACCATCCTGCTCCTGTAAGGCCTAGCATTTCTCTTATCATGAATCATGAGACTAATACCTCACACTTTCCAAGAGTTTATAATTTATAAGCCCTTTCACCTAATCTTCACTCAGTCCTTATGATGCACAGGAACTCCTGTCATCTCATCAGTTGAGGAAACTAACGCAGAGGGAATAAGTAACGTGCCCAAAGTCACATTAAGTAATCAAACTGAGATTGGAACGTCCAAAGTCTGTGCTCTAAAGCTAAACAATTTAACCACTATTCCAGATGGCCTCCATTGGACTACAAGCTCTATGAGGAAGGTGCTGGTTGTCTTTCTCACCACTGTATACCTAGCATTTGGCTCATGCTTAGCCAACAGGAGCTCAAATATTTACTGAGTAAGTCTTAGGTTAGACTTAACTCTTATTCCCAGATCTGCACTGAGGTGTTGAAGACACCAAGAGGTCTCAGACAGCCAGTTAGGGCACCAAGGGTAAAATGTTTTTCACTGACGGGAAATGAGCACTCAGTGTCTGACACTGCAACCCAGCTTCACTTCCAGTGCTATTTTCCTCCATACTGCTTCCTTATCCAGGATACGCCAGTTACATCGAGGCCTCAAGGAGATAAGGTGAAGAGTAGAAACAGAAATTAAGTATGAATTGGAATATTTTTGCAAAATGATCAAGCTGTAGATAACTTTTTATAGGATCCATAACTGGTACTTGGAGTTTTCCCAAAGATCAGATAACCTTTTATTTTTGGTAGTATCCATTCAAAAAGGTGCTAGAAAATTAAATAGGTGACACCTTCTGGATATACCTGTCTCAGCATATTTTCTCTTACTAGCCAGCCCTTGGTACCTTTTTAATAAAAGGACTTTCCAGAAATTTCTGCACAAATGTTATGAAAAGTCCATGCAAAAGGGTAACAAGGCTAAGCCATGCCAAGTACATAACAGACAATGCTAATTGACCATGTATATTTTTTTAGGCTCAGATGTAGCCTCAAAACATTTATCAATTCAATACTTTAAACAGCCATCACCCCCATGAGATAAAATATTTGTCATTACTGCCTAAAGCCACCCTCAGAGGTAGCCTGGAGGATATGGAACTCCGAGGTTACCAGTAACCTCCAAAGGGGAGTGAGCAGAGGGAATATGCTGTGGAGTTCTGCAAAGAATGGCTTTAGTCTACTCAATATACACACCTGCACATCGAAATGTCCTTCTTGGAAGCCATGAAAGCTATAAAGCAATGAGTTAGAAAGTTCCCCATTCTACATGGAAGCCACCTCAATGAAAACATTCATGTAAAGTTCATGGGACTTCACACCCTCCCTGGAACCTAGCTAGCTAGCATCATATCAAGGCCCCTATGGAAACCTGATAACAGCACATTTTCAACAAATTTTAGTATGAACATGAGCTTTAAGAACAGGAAGGATGTGTTTTCTGTTCTAGAATGTTGTCTTCTCCAGGGTAGCTCAGTTGTTTATAGCTGCCATTTAACTACTGAGAGTATTTTTGCAGGCCAGTCCTCATCCTATAGTTTGCCGTATTGACTTCTATCCAGACATTAAAATTTTCTTTTAAAAAATCGGTAACTCACTTTTGCTGTTTCTTTCAGTTCTTTTGAAGATTATGAAACAGAGGAACCTGCCCCTCCCTCTGAAATTGGAAACAAAGGCAGTAAAATAGTAACCTCAAGCCTTTCAGAGAAATGTGGAAAGCTTCAGTCAGTGGATGAAGAATAGCTGCCAATGTCTGTATGAAAAGGAGATAATGTATTTTAAATGTTTTCTTTCCTGTGAAGAGATCTTCTAATTTGCATACTGCTTTTTAAAGGCTTTGATTTCTGCAAGTGTCTATCTGCACTAGGAAATTTACAACGTTTTAAAGCAATAGGTCTGGATACATGTACTCAATTTGGGAGACTCTTCCAGTTTGCCTCAAACCTCTTACAGAGCTTTTCCTCAGACGCAAATACAATGATACACATCACTTTCCAAAGTCTGTGAACCAACACTCTTCACCCCTGAATGTACCAAGGATCTCTTGGAGACAGTGTCAAGCACAGTTCTCTGCACAAAAACAGGAGTTGCCTCTGTTGTCCAGCATCCCTGAGGCCCCCTCAGGGCTCCTGTGGAGCCCAGAAGAAAACTTCACTTGCAGAAAACTTGAGTTAAAAAATTCTGAACTTGAAAAAACATTAAGGGCCTCCAGAACTGAATTAGCCCTGGTAATAAAAGCACTGCCAAAACATCTCAGAGACTTCTTTTAATTATGTGTGTACTGGAGTTCAAAGATCTTGAACTTACTTGGTTTAATGTATTATTTCACAATGACCTGCCAAACTGCTAGTCACTTTACATCCTCAGGTATTGTAACCACTGGGCCTTCCAACCTTACTGGCAAGCTCTGAATAATCCTTCTCACCCTGTGGGTCTTATATAAAACCTAAAGAAAAAATTTGTGAAATGAAAACAAGTATGGAATTTGACTCACTTGAAAAAAAACTTACCTACTATTTGTAGAAAACTATTGAATATTTTATTAGTTTCTATTTAGCTGATACCCCATCTACACTTATCAAAAGGCCTGCTTGAAGACAAATGATGTATGAAAATTCTTACTAGACATATTCATCACTTAGTATCAAGCTAACCTAATGTAAAGGCCTCACTCTAAACATTAATCCTTCATGTTGACACTACTTCTACAAATATTCCATCCACCTCATTATTTATCACAAAAGTAGGAGAGTGATACCACCCATAAAAGAAAGCTGTTTCATGTTTATCATAGTGGTAAATGTGTTCATTATGGATATCTACACTGATTCAGCAAGTCACAATTTAGCCAAATCCTGCAATAACCTTGAAAATAAAATTGAACTATAAAAAGGATGGAAATTCGATAGTGTAACAGAAATCCCCAAGAAACTTTTTAACATTCATCTCTGAATGTTAAATCTACTCCCCCCACCTCCAGAACTTTTTTAACCAGAAGTCCTGAAGGTCAGAATAGCTTCCTTTCCCACCCTAGTTTGGTTCCCATGCTAGTGTGAAGTCCAAATAATGAAATAAAACTTTGAGCTGTGGTTAGCAAGTGGAGAAAAGGAGAATTTAGGAAATGCACTATCCAACTGGTACAGTAATAGTTAGCAATCCTTGTCAGTATCTTCCCAGTTTCCTGTTGTTTTATCTCTATCATCAGAATTGACCTTCCATGTAACTGTTAGAAAAAGTGATAGCTATTCAAACTTAATCTCTAGTAGTTCACAAAGAACTAAAACTTAAAAGTGACTAAATTTGAGGAAAACACTATATACTATAAGCTGAATACAGTGGTAAATTTGTAGGATTAAAAATACTAATGTGATACATGAAATTTACCATCTACCCATCCAACCATTACCAGGAAAGCAATTATTTTCATATAGAAAAATAAAGTGTGTTTTTTAAGAAGCCATATATGGTTTAAGGGTTTTATTATCCATAATGAACTAAACTATTTCTAAGACTCAGAAAAATGCTAAAAAAATCTGAATCTCAAATATACATCTAATTTAACTTGGTTTTACACTTTTACCTTCTTACTGAAAGTAAAGTCCCTCTCTTCCTTTCACTTTGGTCAATATTTGGTTTCAACATTCTGCAATATAAAAGCAATCTACCAATATCATTCAAGATAAGGCTATTTTATTAATTTAGGTTACCCGAAGTATCGAATTTTCAGACATGTGTTTCACTGTACTCCTTCTCCTAGAGCTGAATGCAAGAAATGTGAATTCTGAGGAACTAAGATAGTATATATTTGATTTCCTGGTAAAGATCATGCTGCATATAATCATTACTGTCCAACTGGAAATTTCAAGTCGTTATAGTACCCCAAGCTCCCTGATAAAAGTTTAAATTGAGGTTTATTGTGATCTTAATAGTCAATAAATAATGAGTTTCATAGCATAACATTAATTGCAAAGTAATCAAATGAAATTCTATGTATTTTCCCTGCATCTTATCTATGTCATTGTGTATTGTTCAAAGTGTTTATAAAACTCTAGGACTGATTAAATATGTCATTTGTCAACTTTTGAAAATGTTAATGTGTGTTTCAGTGGAGAAGCCTGCATGATTTAACTTTCATTGTTTTACCCTTTCTCCAAAACTAAATAAAGACAAGTTGTCAAATATGAATCCCATTCACTAAGATAATCAATTATTACATACTTGGGCTTTAATCACACTTGAATTTCATTTTTCTATCTGGGTAACATTGTAAACAAGCTTGAGATTCAAAGAGATTAATAACTCTTTGAACCCCTGAGAAAATTATAAAGTATCTGCAAGGATAACACCTCATACTGAGAAGTGATTTCCTTTGGGGATGGGAAGCAGGATTAGGGTTTGGGAACAAGGGATTCACGGGGATCAAAGAGAATTTTAGTCTTATATATAAAACATTATTTTAAAAGAAAATGTAACTGATTATTTGGGTACCCCAAAAGATAATTTTTTAAAGGAGGGAGAAAAGTTAAAGTGCCACTAAGCATTAGATTCCAATATTATACTTTGAACTTAGTATTTTTTAAAGCATTTTATGTTTGTTACCTATAATATGAGAAAGGAGATTTTATTTTCCATATATTGTAAAGCTTTTACTTTTCTTCTGCAGGTTACGAGTTGTTTTAAGCAAACTAAGAACACAGTGAAATAACAGGAATTCTTTACCCTTACACCTCTGCATGGAAAGGTATAATTAATTAAACTAACAAAAATTATAAAACTGTCAGCTCTATAATTTCTATAACCTAAGGTGAAACATCATTTGATCACATGTTAATAACAAAGACTCAAAAAGAACAAGTGAAGATGTGTCATATTAAATGCTATTATTGTTTTGATGGTTTCAAATCCTGATAAAGTACATTCAGTTACTTCAGTAATAATTTCTTAATCATCCCTAGCTAGCCATTGGTCGTCATTCTTAAATAACTCATGGTATAAAGAAAAACAATGTAAAAATTAAGGCACTGTAAATAATTACTCTTCCCCAAATATATATAATACAGGCCATTTCAGAGCATGCTTTCCCAAATTCCTCAGTATTCTACAACATAGAATTAGAAAACTAATATTTATTGATAGATTTAAGGTGTAATACAGGTTTCCAAAATGTGGCAGTGAGAATACCAGCATAAAAAAGGGAAACTTGTGCTAAAAACAACCTGAATTCATCATTGGCAATATTACATTAACAATCAAGGCCCTCACAAACTAATGATTTCCACTTTTTCTATATTGCCAACCTCCCATGCATTTAAAAAAAAAAAAAAGAACTCTCCCTAAGATTATTAAACTTGAGAAGCAATAAGTTACTCTATGATTTTTAAGATCATAATATTAGGAAAGTCTGGGAGATTTGCAAAATATATCCTAATTATTCATGAGTACAATCTCATTTCTAGTCATTTTCCAATAATCATTAATGAATAAAGAACAGATTTACAAGTTTATATAGCAGGGCATCTGAATTCAACACAAAACTGTTACAAACTTTAGGCAATACATGTTTTCATGAGATACTGCTAACACTTAGGAATTAAATAAAATTCTGAAACTTGAAAAGCAAATAAAGACAAGACAACTAAGAAGCATTTTCCACCATTTACTCTTGTTATCAAAAATAGTTCAACTCTTCTTGCAAAACAAAACAAAATAGTACATACTGGACACATACATCACATTTTTCTTCCTATGGCTTTAGCCCACCCCCACCCCACCAAGAGACCAAAAAAAAAAAAAAAAAAAAAAAAAGGAAAGGAAAGAAAGAAAAAGGAAAGCCCAACAACAACAAAAACAACTCTACCTGACCACATTCACAGAAAATGACACCAGAATACACTACAAAACAGAAGGAGGTGTCATCTGCTCTGTGTCCAAAGGTTTCTTCTCCATGTCTTGTACTAGGTGAGTAACCATCATTGAACATGCTGTGTGCCAAATCAAAACATAACCAGCATATGTCAGATCTCATGAGAGATGGTGAACGTAGAAATTGAAAAATTTCCAGCAGTATTGTTCTTTAAATAAGCACTGTCAAAGCAGCAGCTCTTCTTTTAAATCATAAGGTCATTTCTTCACAACCTAGTCAGTCCTTGTTTTATCTGGGCTGTGCTCTTTCAAGCAACTGACTAGATTTCCCTTCAACAGAATGTTTTGTGACTCACTTATCTTCCCCATAAAAATTAATGAGAAAGAAGTGCATTTAAACTGAAACACAGTTTGTGCTTTACATGCAAAAGAGCATTCTAAGAAAATCCTCCTAGCTTCAAACCTACCTAAATGCACAGGCTTCATAAAAAGGCATTTTTATTAGGCCTCTATAAAGAAGCCTTCCTAACAAATAGCACCCTAAAAAAAAGCATATTTAAAATAAAGTCTGTGGCAAACTAGAAGAGGAAACAAAAAAGTGGCCAATAGCAATAAGTATAATGTATAAATCTGGATACATTTGGGGACATTATTCCAAAATTATTTTAAATACATCCCAATTTCTAAATAAAACTTTTATATATATATTTTAAATTCTGTCACATACTATAGTCTAAACTCAATCAGCTTCAGAATAAAACTGTTCTTCTCCACTTAATTTATCAATTAGAAGATTGCTCACAGTGAAGAAAGTGAAGAATTTTTTTTTCCCTAGAAATAAGTCAGACTTAAATAAAAAGAAAAGCTCAACTCAGAAGTTTTGGAGCATAAGTAGCTAAACATATGCAGTCTGACAGATTTCAGTTTGTTCACTTTTAAAAGACAGATTTCTTCAACATTCTAATGAGGGACAAATTTTCTTTCATAATACTGCTGATTTAAGAACTGCTACATACACCAGTAGCCAATTTTCATGATCAGAAATGGTAATGTCAGCACAAAGGTTGAGCTGGACATATCAGCTTTTCAACAGGAGAAACATTGATGGCATCTGAAGCCAGCATTGAGTCTCCTGAACAAACTAATGGCTACTTTTTCACAAAAAAATAAGCACAATCTTTATGGACTGACTAGATACCACTTCCTTCCATTTAATCATAAACTTTGATTACGCACAAAGCATGACCATAAACAATGAGGTTAATGTTATTTTCCTTGCCAAAGTTCATTTGTATAAATCAGTTGCATCAGCATTTGTTCTCAAACTATGAGGTTCTGTAAGAACTAAGGACATATAGTTGTAAGGTTACTCCTCCATTATCTGCAAACTATTTCCCCGACACTAACACATATAACTTAGCAATGAAAACACTTGATACAAGTGATCTATATGCAGGAGCTCCGGCAAGTTAAACCAACAAAACCATAGCTGCCTTAAACTGTAGCTATTTCCCTACCAGAGGTAGGTTTAAAGACCCACTGATTTAACAGTCGAATCTCATGTCTATAGCTTCATCCAAACTTTTATCATCATGTGTACTGGCAGCTAAAAACGTTGTTACTGGGGACCCTGTGACATTAATTACACTGGTGCTGGTACTAGCATTGCGCACAGCAATGCTAGTCACATTAATGCCCAAAGTGAGCCTGGTCTGCTCCAAGGCCTTTTCTGGCACAGCAAATGCCTCCAGCTTCTTCTCCCCATTGGCCATATAGGAGTTTTGGCAGCCACGACATATACAATCTAAGCAGGCTTTGCGGTTAGAGTAGCAAGGGCAGCGTTGGCCGCGGCATGTAAGAACACTTGGATTTTGAGTAGCACGCCCACATTTACACCCTTTCTTTTCTTGGGGCTTTTTATACACAGTCTTGGTAGGACTTCCTGGCATAAAATGATGACTAGGAATCTTTTCCTTTACTGTTTTGTCTTTTTTAAGAATACCTGGCTTGGTTTTAGAGTGAGATTTCTTGGATCCATGTTCATGACTCTTTTTCATGCTTTTAGTAGATAAAAGTACGGTTTTGCTGATTTTGGGTGTTGTGCCTCCATTGGGAACAGTTGCTATAGGCTGAAGAGAAATTTTGCTCTCCCGTTTCACTGTCACAGGAGCAGATGCCCCCAATGTTGGGCCTCGGATAATGGTAGAAATTGGAAGTGGCTGGACTTTCTCACTGTCACTTTCTGATCTGGATCGTTTTCTGTTCAATTTTGCTACCTTCGGAGTTGCTGCTGTACATGATAATCCATGAAGTGCCGGATTGGTGGACATAAAAACATTATGGCTAAGAGACTGGGAAGAAAGCTGCAGAAAAGGTCCATTGGATACAGTGGCTTCCAAGTTGGGCTGCAAATTAGGGCAACAAACCTCTGTGTTTGAAACAGTTTCTAGGCTGCGGAGTACTTCCTCAACACTCAGTAACAGAGAGTCACCAGGTTTTATATCTTCACTGAAACTGCAGATATCAATGCCTGTGGAGCATAAGTCAGTAGCTACCGTGTCACAGACAGGTGGCAAGCTGTCAGACAGATCTTCAGTTTTTATGTCAACAGTGTTACATACATCAATTGTATTTGAATGTTCAGGTGAAGGAATATTTATACCAAATCTATCTATTGAAAGCCCGTTATAAGTAGGCAAACCATTGATAACAGAACTGCCAATAGCAATGCTGAGGGTGCTTTCGGATATTGGAGATAAACTAGCTTGAGGATCAGTTGTGGGTTCTGAGGTCGAAGGTAAAGGGGAATGTGTCAAACACAAAGTAAAGGATGAATCTGAAGGTTTTTCTGTCTCCTCACAAAGCAATGATCCATCATTAAGCAAAGCCAAAATATCAGAAGAACAGTCAACTGCTTCTATTATATCCCGTGCCAACGTGGTCTGTGTTATATATTCACACAGTTTTTTGTAGCAGTTCACTAGGATGCTTAATTGCTTGTTTTCCTCAAACTGCTCATAGTCTTTGCACCAACTACATGAAGGTTTCATCATCATTTTCTTGCCTTTACAAGTTTTGCAGACATAGTGTTGGCAAGTGGAGTTGATAGGTGCAATAGGATCTTGTAGCAAATGTCCTAAGAGGAAAAAAAGGAAAGCACAGATTTTAGTATAATAAATTTACAATATCATATAGTGAAGATGAGATTTTTAAGTAATCCATTAAAACTGAAATGGGTTAAACTCAGACCAGGTAACAAAAAATAGAGGGTGGGGCAAAAGCAGGCTTACAGTTTTGAGTAAAAGAAACAGAGTTTATCCTTGTATTATAATTCACTATTGTATTATTTTCCAGACAAATAACTATTAACTTACTTTTCCCCCACCCCATACATCTCACAGGAAATGAACTTAACTTCACTTACATGCCATATACCCCTATTCCTTTACTCAAACCAGAATCTTTCTCCATTCTGTGTTTCTTCCCCAAACGGTATATTCTGGTCCACTTTCTTATACGCTTCTCCAAAGGCTATATATAGGTAGGTAAAGATCAGTCACCAAGAGCACAAATTAGACCTAAAACCTTTGAGACCTCAACCTAATGCAACATGGCAATGCTACAACATATTGAGCAAAATCATGAATTTTTAAAAATTATTTGTTGATTTGAGAGAAATGAGGGGGAGGGGGGAAAGAGAAACATCAATTTGTTTTTCCACTTATTTAGGCATTCATTGGTTCTTATATGTGCCTTGACTAGAGCTTGAACCTACAACCCTGGCACATCGGGAGGACACTCTAAAACTGAGCTAGCAGGCCAGCACCCATATTGTTTATTTTCCATTAGACGATAGGGAAAAGATATGAACAAAAGAGACTCCCTGCCTTCATTAAAAATAGTCTGACATAGTTTGAGGACATTAATCCATTAGTACAAAGGCATCTTCACAGGAAAAAAAAATTCAAACCATTTTATTATATAGATACTAATCAGAAACTAAGAAAAGAGAAAATCAGTATGTAGTTATAATGTAAAAGAATTATGTCCACTTATTAAAAGCAAGAAGAGAATACTACTAAACTCAAATTTTGCTACAGAAAATCAAAATACACTGACAATGAAAAAATTTATGTTTAAATATATTAAAAAGGAAAAAAACACATAATCCTTGGCTCAAATTCTTCTGACGGAATATATGGTCATAAATCACAAGTATCCTAGGTACATCTACATAATATAAAAGTAAAAGTGATCCCTCAACTTGTTAATCTTTCTCAATTTACAAAACAACCTATACTGAACCAGGAAGGGAAAAGCAACTAGTTTAGTCCATATCTCCGCCCTTACTTCCCCCAAAAGAAGCAAATGCTCCTTGGTTCCCAATTCAGGACAAATGGTTAGTAACTAACTCAAAGCAGCACCTATTTTCTCATACATGTTATATAATTTAACACTTAGGTACAGGAGAGAAGGTACTTCCTTCTATAGCCAAGTGACATCAGCAAATCCTCTAGCTTAGAAGCAAGTACAAACCTGAAAATGTTGGACAAAAAAAGTCATTTTCACAATCAAAGGGATAAAACTATCTGAGAAGCATTTGTGTGTGAAAAACTGCTGGATTTCAGGTAAGGACAGTGGGAGTCTATGGTGTTTAGGTCCAGAGCTGCTCAGTTCTCCTCTACCACCCAGTGTTACCCTATGAGGACTGGAAACAGCTATGTTGGAAAAGGGTTCATTCCATTTAGGGCAGTAGGTGATAAACAGACCCAGGGGCATTAATTATTACTGGACATGACTTCTCAGATGCTGGCCAGTGGGCAAGACAAACAGTTCAGCTCTTACTAGCCTGAGGTTGCACAAGCCCAAGTTATATAGAGGTCTCAAAAAAGGTGGGAATTTTCCCCAAATTGATCTATAAATTCAATGTAATCCTTATGAGAATCCCAGGTGGCTTTTTTAAGAAAAAAAAAAAAAAAAAAAAAAAAGAAACTGACAAACTGATTCTAAAGTTCATATGGAATCAGAGAGGACACTAGGATGGCCAAAACAATTTGCAAAACAACAAAAAGTTACCCTGGTCAGGTGGTTCAGTTGGTTGGAGCCCCTTCCTGTACACCAAAAGGTTGTGGGTTCCATTCTTGGTTGAGGTACATGTTGGGGAGGGAGGGTACTGATTGATCAATGTCTCTCTCTCTCTCTCTCAAATCGATGGACATGTCCTCAGGAGAGGATTTAAAAAATAATTTTTAAAAATTTACAAAAAAAGAATAAAAAGTTGGAGGACTTACACTGCCAAATTTCAAAATCTTCCATAAAGCCAGAGGCATTCATCAAGACATTGTGGTAATGGCAAAAGGACAGGCATAAAAATAAAGGGAATAAAACAGAGTCCATCAAGAAATTCTTATATTTATGGCCCATTGATTCATGTGACAAGAGTGCCCACATAACTCAATAGGGAAAAGAGAGTATTTTCAATACACTATGTGGGATAATTAGATACCCAGTTGCAAAACAAAACAAACGTCCTTGCTGCACCACATAAACACACATTAACTCAAAATGGATCATAGACACCTAAACGTAAACACTAAAATCCTAGAAGAAAACTCAAGAAAATCATGACTCTAGGTTGGACTAAGTGTTAGTGTAATGTCAAATGTACAAACCTCAAAAGGAAACTACTGTAAAATGTATTTCCACACATTTAAATGTGCTTCAAAAGATACCATTAAGAAAATAAAAAGATAACCCAGAGATGGGGAAAAAACAGTTGCAAGTCATATATCTGATACAAACACATGTTCTAAAATCTTCCTACAAATCAGTATTAAAACAACTCAGTTTTTGAAATAGGCAAAAGATCTGAATAAACATTTCACCAAAAAATATATATAAACGTCTAATAAACGTGAAAATATGCTCAATATCATTAGTTATTAAGGAAAGTAAAAACCAATAGAGTATTACTATTCACCCATTAAAACAGATAAATTCAAAATGACAGACAATACCAAGATCCAGCAAAGTTATGAAGAAACTGGAATCCTATATTATCACTGTGAATGTAAAACGGTAAAGCACATTGGAAAACATTTGGTAGATTTTTTAAAAGTTAAGCACACATTTACCATAAAAACCAGCAATTCTACTCCTAAGAATCCACATAAAGAGAAATGAAAGTTTATTTCCTTTTAAAGAGATGTATAGCAGCATTATTCATAATAGACAAAAACTGGAGACAATCCAAACATCCATCAACTACTGAGTAGGTAAAATGTCGTATATTCATACAATACTGTTCAGCAATTAAAACAAACTATTGATACATGCCAAAATACAATGAACTTCAAAGCCATTACGTTAAGTGAAAGAAGCCAGAAGCAAAATAGATTATTGTATTATCCCATTTATATAAAATGTCTAGAAATGACAGAAAATAGCAGAAATAGTGGTTATCTGAGGCTGCGAGTGTGAGCAGGGATTAACTGTTAAGTGGGCACAGTGGTACTTTTGGGGGGTGATGAAAATGTTTTAACATCCTATCATGGTGATAGGTTGTACGGTAAGACAAGGCCCAGTAGTTACAAAGTCCAACCTTCTACCCAGTGCAGGGATCCCTTAGAACATGGGTCCCCAACCTCCAGGACGCAAACCAGCAAGATCCAGGACTGTTAGCCACAAGACTGCACAGCAGAGGGTGAGCTTGAATCATTCTAAAACCATCCCCATACACCCCAGGTCTGTGAAAATATTGTCTTCCACGAAATCAGTGCCTGGTGCCAAAAAGGTTGAGGACCCCTGCCTGAGAGTACCCTTCACTTAATCTAAGGAAGGGCCTAGGGGATATATATTTATGAACTTAAAAAAATGTTATCTATTGGGAAGGAGAGACTGAACAAGGTGAACAGGGATAGGATTAGATGACAATAAGTATTTTAAAGAAAACCCTTCAAAATCTAAAGCAAAATGAAACAAGTAACTAATTTTACATCACATTGATGGTACAACCATTCAGAGATTAATTATTTTGAATTACTTTATAACAGAAAACCCTAATTCTTGCATCCTCTTTGTTTTCAGCAATCACATTGTTGGTGACAATGATGACAGTTATAATAAAAGTGCTGGCATCTATCTGGAATAGAGTAAATGTTGATGTCCTTGAGAATCTGCATTTTCTTTTTTTAGTAGGAGAAAGGAAGAAAATTGTAAGATAGAAAAAGTTAATATGGTGATCACCATAGGAAAAGGGGGTGGGAGGAGGTAGAAGAGCATAAAGGGGAGGATAGTGATCAAAGGAAACAATTTGAGCTGATGAAGACAAAATACAATATACAAATGATGTACTATAGAATTATACACTTGAAACCTATATAATTAACCAATGTCACCCCAATAAATTCAATACAGAAAAAGTAAAGAATATCCCAAATTTCCATTGAATTTACAAGTATGAAGTAATGTTTTCATCTTCCTATTTCCTAGCAATATATATTGAAAAGGACTAGAAGCGAGGAACCAACCCCAGTAGCAATGAGATGAACTCAGATGATGATACTGAAAAACAATTTTCTGTTCAATTAGACATGCCAAATTACATATCTGTGACATAAATTAGGCAAAGGTGGGTTTTACTTATCTTATGCTGGAAAGCAAGGAAACTATGAAAGATTAGAACAGTGTTAAAGGGTCTCAGGAGCAAACCTGCAGAGGTTCTCAATGGCCAAAAAGGAGAAAATCTGTGCATGCATAAATACAATGGAATTAAATACATCCATAGTATGTTCAAATGTTTGAGTTCATTAAACAAAAGAAGAAAATCAGTTTCAAGATACCAATAAACTCATTCATTAGTTTGAAAGCTGGTGAAAAAAAAAAGCAAGAATCAAGTATTTATTCTGATTTAACCACATACGAACTATATAACCAAATAACCAAATCACAAAGATTTTTCTCTTTATGGGGACAATGTGGCTTATAAATGAAGAAAAAATGACAATTTAAATGTCGTCATTTTATAACCCATAATAATTTGCAAATTGCACAGGCTAAAAAATAATTAAGGATTACCTCTCCAGCCTTCATTACATCAATGACTTTTTTACCAGTCATGTCAATCCCTGACTACCA